TCAAATTGATCGAAACCGACCCAAACCTAACCCCGTGCCCATCCTATCTACATGCCATATTGACATATTTTTCCTCGTGTTATAATCAAATTTATAGTATTTTATGTTTATAATTTTTTTATAGATTAATAATTTATGTTATGTAGATTTTGATATATTCATATCAGATTTGTATTCTTTTATATTGTAAAATATTTTAATTATTTTACATGTAATAATATTTATAGGATTATTATATAGTGCACTGGAGTTGAGATTTTAGATCTTACAATTCTGGGTGAAAAATCATCACATATATAGTCGATTAAACTTGTGGAGTAATGGCAAAACATACCCTAAAATAATTGTAAGCCAACTTTGAATGTTTCACTTTGTGCTTTCTATATTATATATTGAGGGTTTGTGATTTTCTTTGTTACATATCACTTGTCCTACGAGACGTATATTGGGAGGTTATCGGTCCTGAGGTGATTATAAGGTAATACATGTTTTAAAAATTTTAAGTCATTTGATAATAAACGTTCAAATATTTTTATAGACTTTGATGCTCAAACTTGAGACTTCTAGAAACAACAATCATTTCTTTAATCATTGAAGTAGTTTGGATATAATATTAAGAATAAATCATATCTTTGCTTATATTTTCTTGGATCGTTTTGGTCTTCCCAATCATCCTAATCTAAGCATTTTCTTACAAATTTTGCCTCAAACTTAAAACTCCAACCTTACCCTTAATGATATCCTTCCATCGAACTTAAGTGTTATGAGAATATGTGAATACATTATAATATGTTGATAAAAGAAAGAGGTGAATTAGGGTTTGCTTTTTTTTTTTGTCTTTTTTCTTAGAGAAAATCGCCTCAGTGACCAAAAAAAAGTTATAATATACGATTTTAACCAACTTTTTTTGGATTTGCCAAAATGACCAACAAAAGCGCAACGCGAAATAAAAATCGCAACGCGATCCCCAGAATCGCAAATCAGTTTCCAAAATCGCAACGCGATTCTTGAAAATCGCAATGCGATAGTACAAATTCGCATTGCGATTTTCCAAAATCGCAACGCGAATATGAAAATCGCAACGCGAACACATAAATCGCAACGCGTATCCGTAAATCGCAACGTGTATCCGTTAATCGCAACGCGTATCCGTAAATCGCAACGATAATACATAAAATCGCAACGCGTATCCGTAAATCGCAACGATAATCCGTAAATCGCAACGAGAATCTGTAAATCGCAACGATAATCCGTAAATCGCAACGAGAATCTGTAAATCGCAACGATAATCCGTAAATCGCAACGAGAATCTGTAAATCACAACACTGAAATTTTGGGTATATAACACTGAAATCATAAACTAAATCCCTAAATCGCAACTCATTCCATCTCCATCTATCACTCTCTCCGGCGACATCCGTTCCTATATCCAACGACATCCTTCCCAATCCGGCAACAGGTTTTAGTTTCGCAGCTCGTCTGTTTAGTAAATTAATTTACAACCATGAAATCATCTAATGTTGATCATGTTTGGATAGATTTGTGTTTTGGAGGGTCATGGGATAATGTTCATGGTGTTTTACAATATATGCCTTTACCCATGAATCTTCAACTAAAATTGTCTTTACAAAAGTTAACTTATGAAACTCTAATGCTACGTGTTTCAAATAAATTGAATTTAGAGCCCCTAAGTGGATTTAGGCTATCTTATCAGAGAAATGGTAAAGTTTATTTGTTAACCGACAATGAAGATGTTGAACGATTCATTGCTTACATTAGTGTTTCACAAGATGATGTTACATTGTATGTTGTTGAACCTAGAAGTAGTATTGTTGGGTCAGTAGCGGGTAGTAATCAACTAAGTTTTTCTCAAAACCCACAACCTTTCTCTAATCCAAATCCCAATCAACTTTCAGCACCAAATTCCGGTTTTCGTATTGACCAGTTAGACGATGATGAGCCAACAGAAAAAATTGTGAATACTAGTCAGTATTCGAAATTTGGTCTTGGTCAATATCCGGACTTTGATATTGGTCAATACACGGATTTTGATGATGTTTCAGAAGAAGAAACAGACCCTGCGTGTAATGATTTTGATATTGGTCAATACCCGAATTTTGATGATGAAACAGCCGTTGCCGAAGAATGTATTGTTGATGATAATGAGGAGGAAGTTACGACTGTGAATGAACATGTTGAACATCCATTCTGTAATTCATATAATCCTGAAGAAGAAAAAGAAGAAGAAAAAATCCCCGAAGAAAAGAAAATGCCACGGGCGTATAACTGGAATATGCCAGAATTAACTTTGTTGCTAATTATCGATCGTTGATATTCATTATTTTTGCTTTACTTTATTATATATATATATATATTAATAATTCCACATTTATGGCATGTCTTCTTCTACCTTTATAACACGTTTTTCTTCGTCTTTATGGAACGTTTTCGGTCATTTTATCATTATTTTTGTTTATTCTTTTTTTTTAGGATTGGATTTAACATCGCCACGATTGACCAATATGTCGTTTTATTTATTATCATGCTGATCTTCCCTGTTTTATACCATAATATTGGATTTGGATACACAATTTATGTTCATGTATAGGATTTTCACGTAGCTCAATTCTAGCCTTTCAATAGCTTTATCATTTTTTGTGGTTTGTTTGTCAATGTGACCAGATTTGTTCGTATCTACCTTTTATCTGAGTTTATTTGGATAGATTTTTAAATTTTTTTCTTGTATGATTATTGTGATCTTAAGTGGCTAGTTTTCTCGTGTTTAAGAAAATATATTTATTATGTGTTTAGTTTATGATTGTGGTTGTAAAAAAAGTGAGTGAATTATATTAGATCCTGATAACCATCTTAATTATAAACCGTTAATCTATCAATAAATTAAAATATATTGTTAATATTCATAGAATTTATATTTAATATATTTCTAGTGTATAATATATACAAAGATAGTGAACAACATACATGCTTACAATTCGTTAAAAATATTTAAAATTAAAAATAAATAATTAAACTTTTCAATATGTAACATTACATGAATCATAGCTGATAATTAATTTCATTATTAATTCCTAACCTTAATTCTTGGGAGATGAGATTTCAGTGCTACAAATGGGACAAATCTTCTTAACTTGAAGCCATTTAGATATACAATCCGAATGGTATGGGTGTTCACAATTCCGAAGTGCCACAACATCTTCATCTTCTTCGTATTCGGTTTGACAAACCACGCACCGATCGAGTTCGGTTCTGCACTCGACGGATCGAAACTTGCATCGAATCAAGCACGGTAAAATTTCGTCCGGAGATAACCCTCTCTTCTCCACTCCTATAAACTCTCCCAAAGAAATCAACTCTTCGTACGATAAATCATCGAGATCTATCTCATTATCTTCATCTTCTTCTTCAAAATCATCGTCTTCTTCCATATCTTCAAACTCTAGGTCATCTCCGGCTTCGAGGCCTTCAAAATACTCGTAATCGTTAACGTTGCTTTCTTCGTAGGATGCCTCGGTGTCGCACTCTTCCCTATCGTCACTCTCGATCATTGGAGAAGCTCTTTCTTGTTCCTGTAATGCCATCGCCATGGCCAAGTTGGAGTCGATTTGTTCGAGCTCGGTGAAGGGCACCCTCTTTGATGATTGTTTTGTGTCTTCGTTTTCCATTGAAAGACGACTGCAATCTTATTTTCGAACGAAGTTGAAATGCAAACCACTTCCATATATATATATATATATGTGTGCGCGCGCGTATGTATATAATTTGTTAGATTAGGGTAATGCTTAGGATTTTCTTTATGTGAAGGCAACTTTCCATACGAATGCTTAGGGTTTTGCTTTAGGTAAAGGCAACTTCCATACGAAGCGATGGAAGTCCAAATACTGTTATATTCTTTGATCCTTCATATACTTTGAATGTTATGGGAAGAGTCACGTCCACGTCAACATGCACCTATTTTTTATTTTTTTTATATTATATATATATACATATATAGTAATTTTTAAAATTTTAATATTATATCCCTACTCAATATCATAATGTCTCAAATGTAGCCCAAAATTAAGCTTTCTTTGAAGAGGGGGCGGCTTTATTTCATGCATGTACGAGAATAACTTATCTAGTAAGTCACCATACTAATTCCTCTATTATATATATATATATATATATATATATATGATCCACTTATAGAATATATATTTTTTAGATTTACACAGATTTATGACCGCTATATGAGTGAAAATAGACGGTTGAGATTATGAATAGAAAATGATATGATATTCAATGGAAAAAAATAATGAATTAATTTCAATCATATATTTGTGTACTCATTCAATGGTTTTAAATTTATGTAAAACTAGAAAAAAATATTATATAAGTGGATACTAACTCTATATATACACATATGAGGATACAAATACAATCAATATACATGTATTTTTCTATTAAATATATATATATATATATATTATTAGTTTGATAAGTTTTCATATATAGAATTAGAATAATATTTTTTTGAAAAGTTTCATAAAATTTTATATAAGAAAGTGATTTTGAAGAGTTTGATTATAATTATTTTTATAGAGAGAGACAGTTTATCATTGTTTTTAAATCATTTTCTAAGAGATAAATGATTACTTTAAATAGGATATTATACATTTAAAAATATATAATATATCAAATATATCAATTTAAATTATGATAAAAAAATATAAAAAAATATTGAAAAGAAGTAAATGTGTATTGGTTTTAAAGACAAGTTTGCACATATATTTTAAGTTAATGGTTTGTGGCAAATCAAATAAAAAGTTCACCCAAGAAATCCACTTGGTCTTGATACGATATATGCTCACCCAGCCATATAAGAAGAACACGAGCCATTCTCATGTATAGCAGAAGCAACACTAATAATTTCTGTAGATACCTGAATTAGTCTACGGTTATGCCGGAACGTTTTCACCGGGGGCAGGGCCGCCATCGGAGCTTCAGTTCGGGTTATCATTGGCATATGCACCCTGTGGTCTTGGAGATTGGGTTGATGGTGATTCGGGTGTTGTTGGTTTAGGTTTCGTCAGTATTGGCCGGCAAATCCTGTTTTTAAGGAACAATTTTGAAATCTCAGTGAGTCAGTTCCGAATGCCATGTACTCGCACATAGATTATCTACACCATAATACATTGGCAAAACAACATCAGGTACTTGAGCTTTTGACCACCGTTTTTTCGTTAACCGTTACGATGTTAAAGTGACAATTCACATTATTGACATGGAGATTCACAGTGTTGATATGACAGTCAGCAATGGTTGACAACATGACGGATGATATGGCAAATTGACTAAATTAGTAACTCAATCATGGCAAATGAACTTTCACATCAGCAATGGTTGACAACATGACGGATGATAGGGCAAATTGACTAAATTAGTAACCCAATCATGGCAAATGAACTTTCACATCAGCACCGTGGACAACCATGTCAATATCGTAATGGTCAATAACGAAAAATATTGGTCAAATGATCACATTAAATTTATTTTCTCAGTTGAAAGATCACATTGAGGAAAAAAATAATACGATGATCACATTAATTTTTTTCAAAAATATATAAATCTATTGTGCTTTTTCTCCTGATACATTATAGAGGCACGGAGGAGGAAAAACGGATTACTACTTTGTGCAAGATGCGTTCATCTAAATAAAGAAGTGCAAGATGCGTTCATCTGACTCTATATTTCTTTAGATATCCAAGTAATATAGAGTAGAGATGGACATATGATCCAAACTCATACGTTTTCGACCCTACCTGATAAGGTTAATTTTTAAAAAAAATTTATATTTTTAAGAAAAAAATGAGTTAGGGTCGGGTTTTCTAAGGATGGTATCGAATTGAATTCGGATTAGGATTTAGAGTAAAATAGTTGGCTTGACACTATTTTTAAATTTTTTCAATTAATTTTTATTTTACCTGATAAAAATGAGAATTTTATATAGGTATACGTATTGGGTCAGGTTGGGTATCAGGTCTTGTAGAGTTTCCCTAAATCCAGGTCAAGTGACAGGTAGAAGGGAGTTACCTGTCTAGTGCTTCAGACACATGACACATGACAATTCTTAAATATAGGTGCAGGGTACAGAATCATATGAATAAAACAATAATCTAAATGTGAAGGGAGTTACCTGTCTAGTGCTTCAGCCTTCCTCCTCACATCAGCCGATAAAAGAACTGGAGTGGCATACTTAGAAAGTTGGTCCTGCTGTTGTTTTTTCTCTCTAAACCATGCCTCAGCTTCGGCACACTCATTTAAGATCTATAATGCACCAAAATGTTCAGAACTCCGCCATAAAAAGCGGGGGAAGGTCCAGAGAGAGCCTTTACCTTTTGCTTGCCAGCAAGTTCAACGTGATCAAATTTGGGATCATTTGACATGGCTGCCTCCCTGTAGCTGTTAATGCAGTAGGCAAACTTATCGATGACGGCTCCCCTCTCTGTGTACTCTATGTAACGTTCTTCGATAGGATCCCCTTGCTGCAATAGCAAGAAATCCGTCGGCTTTACGATTAATAAAGTCGACAAAAGAATAACGGTGTTACCTTCTTAAGCTCTTCGAGCTTGGCGATATAGACACCCTTTGTTTCATCCTCACCGTCTTCGTATAGCCAATCCTCTGTTTCCTGAAGCTTAAAAGTGAACTCTCCCTTCTCCGAAGCAGTGACAAAATCATGGTATTTATCACTAAGCTGAAGACAATGTACGATTAGTTTTAATCTCATCATAATGGCCGATAATCAGTTCTAACAAATTAGTGGACATTAGCTTACCTTATTCCTCATGTCATAGACATAAGCCTCAACAGCATTCTTTTTATCCTTCGTTTCTTCCATAACCCTATCTTGCAAAGCCATTTCGAACTCTTTCTCGACCGCCTTTTGAACATCTTCAGGTAACATTGCACCATAAACCAACTCTGCCACTGGTATGTTTGTTTTCTTCACCTTCTGCTTGGGAACCTCAACCTGTATGACACACGGAACAGTTAATGTAAATATCCAACCAAATCCATTACCTAAGAAAAAGTTACTAAGATTATTCCATACTAAAACTTGGCAACTGGGAGTATGCCTGATTTAAAGGCTACACCGCCGATTCAGGCAGCTCATTTATATAGTTCACAAAGGAATCACTTACTTTGGTATCGATCTCCATTTGCACTGGCTTGTCACCTGATTCGGAAACACCATTTTCATCGGATATACTTTTGGCATATTGCATGTTGACATCTGTATCTCCTTTGGTTGGTTCTTTTGAACCTGGAACTTCTTCCTCTTCCAAGAGCTAAAAGAGCATGGAAATTGTCAGGAAAGAGCACAACAATTTCAGTTTGCTTCAAATTTTAAAAGCTCAAACACAAACACAAACACTTACGCTTGCTGACTCAAGGGACACAATCCCATGCAAATTCAGGCGAAATTTGGCCTTCAATTTAGGTCGTTCACTTCTTATTGTTGGAAAAGGACCAATCTGCCATTAACAGATGCCACAAATTGTTTCACAAATCACAAAGCAGCGCAAGAAATTTTTGTACCAAATAAGTTACTTTTATGTGAAGAAAGAGAAAAAAGCAAGATAATTAGAGATTAGTTGAGGTTTGTGGATTAAGAAAAAAGCAAGATAATTAGAGATTAGTTGAGGTTTGTGGATTAATTACAGTGTATGTACTGATCTTCGCCAGGATCTGCAAATCGGATACATCAGAATATAGAACATCAACACTGAAAGTACTCATCTTATGGAATGTCACAGCCTTGACACTGGGTATTGAGTTTCCCTTGGAAAAAATTAGTTGCTGTTGTTCCACTCCTCCATTCTGAGGATCAGAAGCAGACCCTTCCCACGATAGAGAAATTGGGAAAGGGAAGCTCTCATTGACCTTGAAACCATACAAATTAATTGGTGAGCAACGTTTGAAATACAGCAAGAAGCAAAAGCAAAAGGACACAAAAAAGAAAATAGTAGGTGCAGTAAGAACAATGGAGAAAGTATGGAAGAGGTCCAAGGTAAAAATCTTGCATCATTCCCATCTTCAAAAAGAAAAAAGAAAATGAAAAGAAAAGTAACAGCAACATATCATACTACAATGCAGTCAGCCGTGTACATAATGACTGATACACAGAGCATAGATAACTAAACTCAGCAGAAAAATTATGGTTGATATCTTGGTAGAAAAATACCTGGAAATCTCGAACTTTGAATGTGGGACTAAGAATTGCACATTGTAAAGCACATCCCCTTGCGACACATTCACTAGCATTCATTGTGCGCCTAGGCTCTTTACCAAAGAACTCCGTGAGGATTTTCAAAATAGCAGGAACACGAGAAGCTGAGCCGACAACCTCAACCATGTGAACATCCTCAACAACAAGTTTAGCGTCAGCAAGAGCCTTCTCTAAAGGTCTCTTCACACGTTGCAAAATAGAAGCACTGAGCAGCTCAAACTCCTGTCTCTTAATGAAACCCCTAACATCCTTCTCATCCATTAAGCACTCAATATTCAAAGGCGCTTCAGGATTGGCACTAAGTACCTTCTTTAGCTTCTCACAAGCAGCCCGAATCCTAATAGAAGCCCTTGCATTCTGGAAGACATCAATCTTGTATTCCTTTTTAAATTTTGCCGCAAAATTATGAAGGAGAACTTCATCAAAATCTCTACCACCCAAAGAGCGGTCAAACGAATGAGCCAATATCTTGAGTTGCCCCTTCTTGAAGCCAACAATACAAACTTGCATGCTAGCATGTCCAATATCAACAAAGGCCACATTTAATTGGTCATTTTCAGGTAAATCGGTCTTATAAATACCATATGCCAATGCTGTTGCTGTAGTTTCATGAATCAAGTGAAGAGGCTGCAAACCTGCAATTTGGGCTGCATCTACCACTGCCCTTCTTTGAAGATCAGTGAAATATACAGGAATTCCAATGCAGCAATCCACCACTGCTGCATTCAGATTCTTCTCGGATATGCTTTTCAGATTCGACAAAATCATTCCCAGTACTTGGGTTGGGGTAAAAGTTCTTATTTCACATAAATAAAGAGCATGAATCAAAGGATATCCATCAGGACCCTCAGTGACATTGAAAGACAATGATTTGAGATCCCTTTGCAACTCAGGATCTGAGAACCGACGGCCAATCAAACGTTTTATCTGAGAAATCGAATTCTTAGGGTTCATTGTATAAGATGCCGCCCCTGCAGTCCCAATGAATCTCTGCTTCTCCCCAAAGCATACAATCGACGGCGTTTCACTCTTTGATTCATCATTAAGCACAACATCAATACCTCTCTGACTTGCAACAGCAACAATGGAGCTCTCGTTTCCAAAATCAAATCCAACAACACTCATCTTCTACACCAGTTATTTTATTAAACAAAAATCAATCCACGATCAACAAAACAACTAGCATTAGCATTATATAAGTAAATATTAAAGCAGAAAGTAGAAAAAGAAGTCATGAACACAATATTGGAAATCTAGACATGGCATCACCATAATCACACATTTTACAAAAATAGCACTTGAGCTCATAGGATCATTAAATCTTTAACAGTAAATACCATAACAAGATTCAATTAACATTTTCCCCTTCATTTCGAGACTCTAGCCAAGCAGATTTTTTACATTAATGCAAACCATCAGCAGTCAGAGGTATGTGATTATCACGTGCATCCAGAGACACAAATACATTTAAAGTTGATCAAAATTTCACGCAATGATAGAAATTGAATTCGAAACAACCTAGGATAACTAATTTCAGCTAAATCTACGTAAATTTTATTAAGAAACACTTAAATACGCTAATATTATACATAAAACAATAGAACTTCTTTCACCTGAATCACTATAAACAGCTAAATTCAAAGAGGAATTTAAATGTCAATGTCGAAAGCATCGTGCAATGGATGCATCGAATTTCAAGCAAAAAACAACGCGGATCTACAGATGATCCAAAACAGAGAAATGATTGAAAATCTTAAAACAATTGACGAAATTACATAGAAGAAAGCATGTGACCGTACCTTTAACGAAAGGAGAAGAACCTGAGAGAGGGAAGGTTGTTTAAACAAGCTATGGAAGTTTTGAACGCGTCAGAGAAAATACGGAAACAACCTTTTGAATTCAAATGATGTATATATTATGTACAAAACTTAATTCCACTGAAAAAACTTATATTCAGTATGTACAAAACTGTATTTTTACTATTAAACATTGATTAAGAAAAAAAATTTACGTGTAATCAAATATTTATTTCTATAAATTAACGTTATATTGAAAGGAAGTTTGATTTTTATAAATCCTCTTGTCGTTATCGATGTTAATTATGATATTAAATTTATAAAATAAAATAAATGATAATAACATCAATAATCAAAATCCAATCAAAGCTCAATTGATATTTATAAAGTCAAATGATATTAAAAAACACAGTATAGGGACCTACTAGAGAATTCGACATATTTTGATTGTAGGCGGGAAAATCCAAGTCCCGCTCGTTCTTCCCCTAGGGTTTATATACAAAGCTAAACCCAACCATTTTCTTTCATCGACTTTCTCGTAATCCAAACAGAAAAAAGAAAATAGAAGAGAAATGCCCACTTACAAATTACGGGGAATCGATGTTGATTTTCCGTTTGAGGCTTACGATTGCCAACTTGTTTACATGGAGAAAGTTATTGAAGCTCTCCAAAGGGTATATTTCCTTATATTTTGTATTCCCTTTTGAAACATGGTTATGCAATTGAAGGTCATTCGGGTCATTGTTACTTATATTTTGGTATAGTTGAGTTAGATATTGATGTTAGGTTGTTTTAAGTTATTGTTTTGAGTTCTAATTTTATTGAAATACTAAGTGTTGGATGTATGAATATTGTTAATTCAATGGTTATTTCCACTTGCTGTTTGATGTCGCAGAGGTGTAATGCACTTTTGGAGAGTCCTACTGGAACTGGGAAAACATTATGTCTTCTCTGTGCCACATTGGCCTGGAGGAAAAGTTTGGGTGGTTTTTCAACTGGTAGTAGTAAAATAAAGAGTGGAGCCTTTGGGAGCCAATCTGATGTACGATCTTCACAATCTGAGGCCGGTAACCTTCCAACCATTGTTTATACCTCACGAACTCACAGCCAACTTCGGCAAGTCATTCAAGAGTTGAGAAGAAGCAACTACAGGTCATTGTTGATTTTTTCATGACACATTTTTTTATGTTTCTTCACCACTAGCTTGTCAGTCCTGTTGAGTTATGCGCGCTGTTCTGTAGTGGAGATAATTAATATGTTAATATGTCTTTTACATTTCTAATGTCAGAGTTGTCTTCATATCTGACACCTCAAAGTTGGTATGAGTATAAGTTTTGACCCTCCAAATTTAACGAAAAACTAGAAGTGCATCTGTTGGCTCATGCTTGTTTCTGACATCTGCACCTAAGCTAATCTTGCTCATTCTTGCCATTACCCATGTTTGGCTGTAGACCAAACCAAAGTCTGTTGGCTGGCCTATGTGATATGTCTGATTTTGTCTTATTCTACAAGCCAGAGCAGAGGAGAATCTTGTTGAGTTGATAACTACTTCTTTCTCTTTTTCAAAAATATTTTTGTGGGTAGAGTTGTTTCCCTGTATCTGGTTTATTAGATAAGATCTGGAATCTCAAGGTGATATAAGATGCTTTAGAACCGAGCAATTGTGAAACTCTATTAATCCATATGTTCTATTGCTCGATCAAGTTGGACTTGAGCTTGATTTGGTTATTAAATCAAGCTCTATCTGTTTTGCACAGTTTGATCAATTTGCAGTCTCAATTTAGTTGCTCTTTGATTGAAATATAAAAGAACTGCTGTATTTATTGGAAACCTTTTCACTCTAGGGTTTAAGTTGATTTATTCTTGGATTTATCTTCATTTTTCTCTTTGCCTAGCTGGATGTTTTGCATTTCTGATTAGTATTTAGCAAAAATATTGCACATCTGGAGTATTTAAAAAGAAGGGAAAAATGAGGGTATAACAACAATTGAATTTATTTTTCTTTGAATATGGTTTAAAATTTGTTTGTCTTTTATCGAAAGAAAGAGAAAGGTGAAGAGACTGCAGATTTCCAACCTTTTCTTGTCATATATCACATCTACGAGAACTTCTCTTGCTGTCAATCATTGTTGTTACAATATGTTCTTAAGCGTCTTCAGGGTAGCTATGGACATTTATCTTGTTGATACTTTCCTAAGCTTCAGTCTTTTGGCTTTGGGTTTTGATTTTCTGAATGTTAGATGATATACAGGCCCAAAATGGTTGTTTTGGGATCTCGGGAGCAGCTGTGCATACATGAAGAAGTAAGTTTACTTAGAGGAAAAGCTCAGACAAATGCGTGCCGTTCCCTTTGCAGAAAGGACTGGAAGCGTCGTTGCACTCATTTCCCACATGTTGCTGGTACTTCTACTCATCTGTATAGATGTCATTTGACATGCACTGCCAATGCCTTGAATATGTCAGAACCTATTCAATAATTCATTTAATTTGAACTTTTAAGTCCGAGATGATGAAAACTTTTATCGTGTATAGACTGACTGTAAAAGTGGATGAGGTGGTTTGATCCTGACTTTAGAGTGTGTAATGACTATTAGGAACTACTGTTAAAATTTTGAATCATACGGATTGTTATTCAATCCACAAGAAGAAATTAACAAATGCTTATCAATATTCACTTATTTCCAGTGAATTGACCGACCATCTCTCAAATATCTTTTTTGAAGTTTCTATTTGGAAATAGTTCGGGTGCATATGGTGTTCACTAATGTTGCTTGTTTATTGTAGATTATATGAAGAATAACCCTCATATTGGAGATGAACCTATTGACATAGAGGATTTGGTGAATATTGGAAGAAAACATGGGCCGTAGGTTTCTGCAATAGTATTCCTTTTCTATACTTCATATGGGGACAGTGGTTGTTATGTTTTTTTTTTCTTAAACACATGCCTTGTAGTAAAGCCCCACTACTAACTTCAATATTGCTGGTCATGTTTTCTTGCTAATTTATACATATTTTTTCCTTGCAGGTGCCCTTATTATGTATCACGAGAACTACACAAGGCTGTTGATATTTTATTTTCACCTTACAACTATCTTATAGATCGTGAATATAGAAAATCCCTTAGTCTTGAGTGGCACAATAGCATACTGATTTTTGATGAAGCTCACAACCTTGTAAGGGGAAAATTGAAATTTGTAACTGGAATTTATGTGTAAATTTTGGATAGAACATATTTTCTGTTGTTAATTGGTATTCTTTGGTCACTTCACCATTGGAATTTAGACATTCTATGAATGACATAGGCCAACTGATCTGATAGTTTACTTTCTGCCTTCTGTTGGCTTCAGTTTAGCCACTGATTTTATGGGAAATCTAATGCAGGAGAGCATCTGTGCTGATGCAGCCTCTTTTGACTTGTCTTCTGGGCTGTTGACGGCTTGTATTTCTGAAGCGAAAAATTGTGCTGATCTTGCTGTCGGGAGGCAAGAAGAATCATATGATAAATCATGGAATCCTGATAACTTTGCAATCCTTAGAGGTAAGTCAGTTGGTACATTGAGAGTGCATCTACGTTGCTGTTCTTAGAAATGCTTTTGCATGCAACTATTTATTGCATGCAACTATTTATTACATTTAACTATTTTCAAATGGAACACTTGTTCTTGAATGAATTTATATTTGTTCTCCTGCATTGAATTAGCTTTGGATCTTTAAGTTGCTGATATTGTACTTCTAGAAAACCTTTCAGTCACTTTGCTGGCCACTCCAGGTTAATTTTGTTTGTAATTTCGTTATATATATGCAATTGTGCATGCATTTGTGTGTAAGCATCTCTCTCTCTCTATATGTGTGTGTATTGCATCCTTACCAATATATTTATTTAGAGAAATACTCTGCATTTTTCAGCTCTTCTTTTGAAACTTCAGAAGCGAATTGCTGAAGTTCCCATCGAATCCAAGGAACTTGGATTTACCAAACCTGGGCCATACATTTATGAACTACTAGCTGATCTCAATATCACGCATGAAACTGCGACTAAGCTTATTGATATCATTGAGGATGCTACTTTGCTGCTTGAGGAAGATAAAAAGCATGACACAAAGGGAAGTGGATGTAAGCTGGAAAGCATTGGCAACATCCTTAAAAGTATATTCACAGACAAGGGCAATCGTCATGCTGATAGTTATCGTGTAAGCTAGGAACTCAGAGCTTTGAGTTGACAAACTCGTGATAGTGGATGTTGTTGTCATTACCTTTTTAACAGTGGGCAATATTTCCATACTATTCTTCCCTAAGCTAGGCATCTCATATTTTAACTTTCATCTGTTATTTCAGGTTCATGTGCAAGAGGCTGAGGTGAAGGCTACAGATATCTTGAAAGGTAACTCAGAGACCAAACTGTTAGAATTTGTTATTTGTTCTTTAATTTATTCTACACAAGTATTTGATTGGCTTGATTCAAGTTACTTCTCTGTTTAAATCAGGTTTACATTGTTATGTGATCATTATAATTCTTCTGGTTGTCAAATGTGAGCATTCAAAATGGGCATATGAACACCACCTTTTCTAGGAACCTCATGATCCACGAAGAAGATTCATTAGTTATTCTTTTTCCCCCTTTCCCTAATATAAATGAAGCACAGGAAGGAAGTCTGGGACGCAAAAAGAATTCAGCAAAAATGAACATTGAGAAATGTTGTTCTGTCTGATACGGTGGATGATTTTTTGTCTTGGTCGAGGAAGGAAGATGGTTTATTCTCGGTTAAAGCATGTAGGTTGACCCTTTCATCCTACTCAGGGGGTCAGGTTAATTGGAAAAGGTTCGTTTGGTCAGGAATGGCTCCTCCAAGAGTTGAAACTTTTCTTTGGTAGGTTTCACATCAAAGACTAGTGGTTAGAACGGAGTTGATTAAAAGAGGAGTTTCTTTGGAGGAGGTTTTATGCCCGCTGTGTTCAAAGCAAGATGAAACAGTTCAACATCTTTTCATCTCCTGCTCGGTTGCAGGGAACCTATGGAGCAGTTTTTAAGGTTATGGGATATCTCGTCTGTCCTGCCCAAAGATCCTATTTCCTTGTTGTGTTCTTGGTCTGACCTGAGGCCAAATTCTCAAATATGGAGTTTTATATCGGGAGTTGTTCTATGGTCAGTTTGGAAGGCCAGAAACTTGGTGGTTTTTGAGAATTGGAAGTTGGATGTTTCTACTCTATCCTTCATTTGCAGATTTAGATTGGCTAAATGGTTTCTGGCTAAGCATCCGAATGTCATTATTCAGGTTGATTCCCTAGTGGGGGACCCTACCATTGTAGATAAGCTTCAGATTAAGGCACCCAATAAATTGAAGTTTCAGGATTGGCGTCCTCCACCAGTTCATTTTTTCAAGGTTAACGTTGATGGGGCAATCAGTGGGGATGGGTTGTTGGGGGGAATTGGGGGCATTTTAAGAGACTTGAACAGCAAAGTCCTAGGGTCTTTTTCGAGTGTTGTTGGTCCAGGTCCCCCTCCATTGGCTGAGCTGAAAGCCATGGAGAAAGGCATTGATTTCTTTCTCTTGTCGGAGTGGGCGATGAAGGGAAGATTAATATTAGAGAGTGATTGTAAAGCAGTAGTGGATTGGATTCTGCAGCCAACTTCATCTCCTTTTTTTAGTTCGATGGTGGAAAAAATTGTCTCTATTGTTTTGGACAGGCAGATCATTGTAAGACACATCTCGAGGAGGTGCAATTGTGAGGCGAATTCTCTGGCTAAACAGGGGATTGGATGAATTATTTTGTTTGTGTTAGAGGTTTCTTTGTAGGTTATTGGTGGTTTTTTTATGTTTAGGGGTTGAGTTAGTTTTGATGTCAGTCTGGTTGTTTTTGTGTTTAAAATCTTATGTGGTTATGTGTAAGTGTGTTTTCTGGTTGTATCCTATGTACTTTACTTATGATTAATATATTCCTAAGACACTCTTTTCCTCCTTCCGCTGATTAAGGAGCTTTCCTAAAAGATCTATTAATCAAGAAGGGAGTTTTTAATGAGGCCTGAAATTCGTATAAAAAAAAGTACTGAAAAAGGAACTAGTGTTTCTTGGGGCATGCATATGAAGTTAGTTGGAATTTGTTGGATTTACCAGTATTTTGGGAGTCATTGCATTCTTAAAAGTAACAAGGTTGCTAGTATTTCCTTTGTATCTTGTTCAAAATTGAAATCTTGCTTGTTATACTTGCGTAGAATTGTGAAAGCATTTAGTTACAAGATGCAGATCTTCTATCTCCAGCCTCCTGTATACCAAAATGGGCAGACAAATTTAGCAAGATTTGTGTATTCCAAGTTGCACTATAGGTGCACATGCTTTCTTTGTGCAAAGTTTTAAGTCTATCCCTTTCTCCTCTGAATTTATTCTACTTTTTGAAAATAATTTATGTTCTTCATACCGCTTCATTAATCAATAATAACAGATTAAGGAGCCATAAGGTTCTGGTCCTGAAAACCAGCAGTCTGCTGTGATCTTTTGATATGCTTTGTTGTAAAAAGTTAATTATATTTTCATCTTTTTGAATTTTGGCAGGTAAGTCATCCAGGACACTCGGGTGGTGGTGCTTCAATTCAGGAATTGCGATGCAATCATTCACTGAAATGGGAGTTGGATCTATTATATTGACATCGGGTACATTATCTCCCTTGGGTTCATTTGCTCAAGAATTGAAATTGTAAGTTGCCCATATTCATTTCTATATCTATTATGCTGGCTTTCTTGAATATTAGTTACTAAAGAGAAACCTTCTGCATGCAATCTCAGAGATTTTCCTGTTCAGTTGGAAAATCCTCATGTAATATCCTCAAATCAGATATGGGCTGGAGTAGTCTCACTTGGTCCATCAGGTCATCCCTTCAATTCCTCTTTTAGGAATCGTGATTCTCCAGAATACAAACAAGAGCTTGGGAATGCTGTTGGTATGCAAACATTTTCAATTTTTCATTGGTAATAGTTTGATGCGTCGATGGTAGAACAAATAGTATCATTCTAACCATCTCTAGATTCTCTTATCTTTACAATCCAAGGAGAAATATGATCGCTTATTGATGGTAGAAATGCTGTCGATTCTCTTCTCAACTTCTTCATGTCATTGCACTACAGTATCATTGAATGTAGAATTGTTTTGAATAATAGATGTGAGCAGGTCATTTTATATGAATAAAGTATGCAATGAGAATTGCCAATAGGTCCATAGCTCAGTGGGAGACCACTTGACTGCAGATAAAAACGTGCTATGCCTATGACTCTACCCTAGTGGGTTGAGTATACATGTTCAAAAAAATCAGACTTTGTAAAAGAAAGAGCACATTGTTTACATGACGCAATGTGACCTGTTAATGCTCTGATCTATGAGGGATTTCTAAGCTTATTCATAGAAACAGTAACAGTTTTCTTTTTCCAGTCAATTTTGCTCGAATTGTACCTGATGGACTGCTTGTATTCTTCCCATCTTACTACCTTTTGGACCAGTGCATTAGCTTTTGGAAGAACATGGTAAGATCTTGGAGCAAGATTAATGGAGAATGGAAGATAACTCCATTAATTTTAGATTCATAAACATTATATTTTTTCTCCTTGCAGGGTAACACAAATTCAAGTACAATATGGGAAAGAATATGCAAATTTAAGAAACCTGTTATTGAACCCAGACAAGCATCCCTCTTTCCTCTGGCAATTGAGGTAGTAGATACATGAAAATTTTAATTTTTCCTGTATTGTATTCTGAGTTAATCAAAGACTTCATATCACAGATAAATAGTTTCTTTTCTTTGGCAGGACTATATGACTAAACTAAAGGACACCTCCACTTCCGGTGCAGTATTTTTTTCCGTTTGTCGTGGTAAGGTATGCTGCTCTCATCCAAAACTTGAAGCAAGACAATTTTTTTGCACTGTATCAAACATACATGTAATATTTGGTGAAAAAAAGTAGAGATCTGCTTTGGACTTTTGAACCATAAAGTGTGACTGTGGAAGGTTGTTTGAGGGCTTTAGAGATACAACATTACGAACTTCTCTGACATAATTCCTGTGTAGTAGTTTTTATTATTTTATCAGATAGAAAATATGCTGCTTTTTGGATAATGCACCATCTGGTTTATGAATTCTTCAATAGATCTTTCTTTCTTTTTATATATTTAGAAGATACTAGATTTTAGTGAATAACCTATAAATCCCCAGTAAAAAAAAATATATGAGTGAGTTCTTGCACCTTGTATATGTTACTAAACCTTGGATTAACCTATGAAGTAATATTCTTTGCAATCCCGAAATAGTTCTTATTTCTACTCATGTCTGATTCTAGGTTCTCTAGATCTGTATGAACAGTGTTGTTAGTGGTATAATGAGAGGAATGATTCTGGCCACATATCTTGCTAATAAGTGACGCTCCACATGGCTTGCGAGTTTACATTAGTGTGGTCTTGCTAATAATTAGGAACTTATCTTTCTGAAGTTCAGCCTTGTCTACTATGCCTTTCTTTTTTCTATTTCAGGTCAGTGAAGGATTAGATTTTGCTGACCATGCTGGAAGGGCAGTGGTCATCACAGGGATGCCATTTGCTACTAGGACAGACCCCAAGGTTTGTTCATCCTTAGCCCATTACTCAGTTTCTTCATTGGCAGTTTTCACTCTTCACTCATCATGAACTTTGCTTCTTTTTTTCTCTAAATATGTTACTGTGGAATGAGCATCATATTACCAATTTGGCTATTACAGATGAGTGCATGTATCAACAAACACTTACCATGACCCTCTCATTGCTTTATATGTGTGTGTGTGTGACAGTTACCATGGCCTTCTCATTGCTTTATATGTGTGTGTGCGTATCTTCTTTTTACAAATCTGATAGATAATATGACAGGTTCGTCTCAAACGTGAGTACTTGGACCTACAGGCACAATCACCCGGGGTAGGATGTAAGGTAATGAACAATGCAGATACTGCTCAAGTAAAGATGTTTTAGCATTAATGTAAATGTTTTTAATTGTTAAACAAGTTCTGTGCTGACTTCATCAGATGCTTAAGTTGTTAACTGGAGAAGACTGGTACAACCAACAAGCATCAAGAGCTGTAAACCAGTCAATCGGACGAGTTATCCGTCATCGCCATGATTATGGAGCGATTATCTTTTGTGATGAAAGGTATTTGTTTTCTGTTATCCTTTCTCATGATCTTTCATCCAAGTATCGTCCATGTTGTAGTTAATACTTGCAACTGAACAATTTTCCTTAGGTTGTGTTCCCTTCAACTCTCTTTTGGAAATGGTCAACTTATTATCAATTTGCCTTTTATGGTTACTTGATCTTCTGAGATCTTTACAGGTTTGCTCAACCAAATCGTCAGTCTCAAATATCTGCTTGGATACAACCCCATATTAAGGTATACTTCTAGAAAATGAAGCGACCCTTTATTTGAAGGATTCTGCTTATTCCTTCTTTGGTTCTGCAGTGTTACACCAAATTCGGCAATGCTGTTTTTACGCTGACTCATTTCTTTCGAGATGGAGAAAGCCGTGGTCATGCAAAGCCAGAACCAGAAGTAGCATACCACAAAGGCATCGGTTATATGCCCTTTAATAATGTTTCTGTTGTTCCATTTCTTTGATTTATTTCTCATAATCTTTAGAAATGTCTTGTCAACCATCTATACGGATCATACAAATCATTGTGTTTTACTTAGGACATTACCTTCCCTGAGTGTCTTCTTTGGTCTCTGCTCCCCATTGACAGGACAATCTTAGTATCTTTCATGGAGTGACATCTTAATTCCGCATTTACAGGCTTCATTTCACTTGGCTAAACCTCCTCCTTGATATTTAGCTATATCCTTTAGGGCCATTGCTGGCAGCTGTGAGTCCATAGTTATTGAAGATGAGGTGCATGGAGTAGATTTTGACTGTCCTATAATTAATAAGCTATGCATATTCTACTTTACGAATGTCTCTAGTCTCTACTTGCTTTTCAGATGGATTCTTCAATCAATACAATTCACTGTTACTGACATTCAAACTGTTGTGATGAAAACCACCAGATACATTTTGTTTTCACTAGAATGTGTAAAATTCTTCAGTCTCGCAGCTGCAAAAATCACTGTTACTTTTGCTCACCCTCACTGGTGTTTGACATCAAATCGAAACTAGCTCTATTTCTTAATAGATATTTGAGGGTTCTATTATTTTCTGATTATAGCATTTTTAATCAATGTTGTCACCAATGTTGCCTTCGTTTGATCACCAATTTTTCCCATTTTCATGCAGATTTAAGTCCATGTTCTACAGCATCGGCTCCTGATGAGGGGATCAAGGAATCTTCATCAGGTAGCATACTTTTCTAGACATTGATTTTACATTTTCTTTTTCTCAATTTTGACCTGATAAAGTAATTAAGAGTTCAAGTTAAGAAGGATATGCAAACAGGATTGTGATTGACAGAGAATTCAAAGTCAATTCTCTTCCCTTTATCTTAATTCCTGGGACGACCTGTTTTGATCGATTGTCCAACTCACCCAGGGGGGACGGATAGAAATAAAAAAGCAACCTAAGCAAGTATCTAATGAATTATGAGTTCAATACATCTAATAGTTTCCATTTCCTGTCTTGTTTAAAACCCTTTTCGCTCCTCTTTGCCCTATCTCCCTTTAGGGTTATTGTAGTGGTAGGTTCTATCGGAACCCTACAATCATATTTGGTCAAATATCTAACAACAAACTCATATTTTTTCTTTCATTACGGTATTTCTGAACATGTTCCTGGATAACAAGCTTAAAGGTTTTCTTATTGATGATATTGATGATAGTAACGATATCAACCGTGACCTTTATATGGAGCCGGAACTTCTTGCTAATGATGAATGTGTTAGCTATGGATATGATGGCAGAAATAAATGTATCCATCAGTTAATTAAAAAAGGGATCTCTGTGTCCATCATTAATAAACTATTTGACATGGTGGATGAAAAACACTACTGTTTATGCTGTATTTTTTTGTATAGGAAATAGAGCGGAGATACAAACTGCTCAGCCTCTGGACAAATCCTTCCGAAGAAAGCTCCCTTCTTGGGTATCTATAGTTCTGTATGCACAACCTTATCTTGTTTCATCTGTTTCCTTAATATGGGTTGCGTCTTAATACCAAGTTTTTGCAGTCTACATCAATGGCTATACCTCACTCCAATGATAAACCGTCTTCTCTTTTAGAAGTTAAAAGCAACAACACGAGCCATCTCAGAGATATTCTTCCTGCCAACCTTTCATGTTTCACTCCTTGTATGGATTTGAAAAGGTTGAAGAGACCAAGTGATCTAATGATCAAAGAGAAAAAGTTGCTAATTACTGGAAAGGGGAAAATGCAATATCAGAATCATGATAATATTGATTTGACTGGTGATCTTTCATTGGAAAAACAACAAAGTAAAGAGAAACAACCAGTGCCATGTTCTATGAAGAAACACAAGGTACAACTTACAGAGCATAATAGCAGTCCCAGTGTTAATGCATCAGCTGCCCAAAGATTAGGGCCAAGAGATCCTCCTGTCACTGTAAGACAGCGAAACACGACAATCTTTCTGATGCTACATATATTTTGAATGCTGATTTTCATTTACTACCCAAGGATGCTGGAGCTGCAGAGGTGGATACTAAGTTCCTCGAGCATAAAAACAGTGATGTTCGCTTAAGTGCCGAACAACGTGGTGCGGTGGAAACAAAAGGCTCTGCTTTTTTGATTCAGGTAAAATGTATCTTCTTTTTCTTCCAAAATTTCTTATACATGTCAGCAATTGGAAGATTTAGTTGTATTGATATTTGCTTCGATTCTATGTATCAACTATGTAAAAGGGAAGTTCCAGACCTTAAATGAACATCATTGTTTCTAGGTGATATGAAATTGCAACATTCTTGTTGCCAAAATTGATCCTTGATTTCATTCCCTGTAGTGATTTTTGATAATCTCTTTGCCTCAAGGTAAAAGAGAAACTTAGTCCTGCAGAGTACAAACAGTTTGTGGGTTACATGAGGGAAATGAAGTCCAAAGTGATAAAGATTGATAATCTTCTGCAATGCATTGTGGGATTATTTTCAGGACCTGAGAGGCTTCCTCTTCTTGAAAGGTACGCATCTACTCTTAAAATGGCTGTCACTTAAATAATAGCTTTGAATTTGAAAGTTGGATATATGATGCTTTTGCTTTAAATGTTTCTACCATGATGGTTCTTCCATTAGGCAAGCAATTGTGCAGACTTATGTTAAACCTTGTACTCATTGTGAATGAGAAGAAGAATCTCATAGTAGCAAAAGAAGAAAAAGAAATGGAGAAAAAATACAGTTCGAGAAAACCATGATTGGTAATGAACTCAGGAGAAAAATACAGTTGCACGGATGGCAATTGATTGGGTCGGGTCGGGTTTTTGGCTCTCCCGATACCCAAAAATTGAAGTTTTCCACCTGCTCCCGATCCAACCCAGGTTTAGAAGGGCCCCACCGACCTGATTTTTTAGGTTAAAACACACACCCAACTCGACTTATATAATGGACATAATTGAACAAAATAAAACAGAAAGGGTATTATTACTATTATTCCTAAATATATAAAAAAATAATTATAATATTTTGTCAGGTCAAGTAGATTTTTTTTTACCCTAAACCTAAACCGATCTGACTCGACCACACCCTAAAAAAATCCAACATGATCCGACTTGAATCCGAATTTTCAGAAGTAAAAACTGACCCAATCAGGTCGGGCTAGAACCGGTCCGGTTCAAATGAATTGCCATCCCTAAGAATACCATGCACCATTAGGAAAAGAAACCGGAAAGTTAAGCTTTAAGCATAGACTAATTAGCCATAAAATGTTCCCGCACATGATGAAGAACGAGCATCATCTTCTATGCTTAATGACACTTTCGTTTATACCCCACTCCTCTCTGCAAGCCCTTTGAAATTGTTTGAAATCAGGCATTCCTATTTGCAACACTATCAAAGAAACCATTTGCTAGTTTACCATACCTAGACTATCAATATTATCCTATTTACAACACTACCAAAGAAACAATTTGCTAGTTTACCATAGCTAGATTATCGATATTCTTTAGCATATCATTCATTTATGTCCTTTGTTAGCTTGTAACTGATCTTACACTCTGTTGTCGTCTGTAACAGATTCAAGGATTACGTGCCTGCAAGACATCATTCTTTGTATGAGCAGTACATTGAAACAAGTAGAAGAGACGCCTGACAACCAGAGGAACTAAACTCATCTCATCGGAACTTTAATTAAGGGATTCCATGCGCCAATTCGAAATGGAAGTTTGAGACTTAAGCTTAAGTTGCTCATTAATGTATATAGAGGAACAAAACCTCATTCAACATGAAGGTGCTATTCTGGTTTATGAAGGGATCAAGCCAATTGAAACAACAATAGAACTAGGAATTTTGCTAGGGGCAAGTCCAAATGTTACAATGGTTTTCTTTGGACAGGATTAGGTTTCAATTCTGGCTGGTTAACCCTTCTCCTTTTTGCTAGATTTGGCAAAATTGTAAATTCATTGACCTTTGATATTATTAGGTAAAGCTTGTCAAAAATCATTGAAGATTGTTTTGGCTATTGAATTTTTTTAAAGTTATAGAATTGTGATTATATATATCAAATTATTTCAAAATAGTTATTATGATGTTGACAAATTTAATAATAATTTATAAGTCTAATGAAATTTAAGGTTATTAATAGTTCAATAAATTTATAAGCAAATTCAAGCATGTCTCTTGTAAGAGTTGAACATATCATACGTCTTTTGTAAGAGTTTCGAGTTCCAAGTTCGAACAACTGCAGAAGGCACCAAGTGTGACATTTGTAGATAGGGTTGCACATAATTCGGATTTCAATCCGATCCGGATCGGTTTTTATCCGATCCGGTTTTTTCTCATAGAAAAAAAACCGGTTTATAAAATAACCGGTTCGGTTTCTAACCGGTTTGGAGGGCCGGATATCCTAACCGGTGTAACCGGTTTCGGTTTTAAAAAAAACCGGTTTTTTTAAAAAACCGGTTATAAAAAAACCGATTTTAATATTCCAGATTGCTCATAGGGAACCGATTCCCCCCCAAGGGGGTACCGATTCCTCACTAAATGGTTTGGCTCCGAGATTTCCAGAATGCTCGGAGGGAACCGATTCTCCCATAGGGGTACCGATTCCCCCCTATTCAACGGTCGAAATATTTGAATTTTACACTTAGGGAACCGATTCCCTATGAGAGGGTACCGATTCCCCCACGCTCTAAGCATTTTTATTAAATGTTTTCACACTTAAACGGCTATATTATCTTCATTAATTATCACTAACGTTCAGAAGTGATTCAAGGTGTATTTAAGCAAGCTTAGAAGTCATTGATCAAAGACAAGAAACATCAAGCAACTAGAATCAAGAGAGAATCAAAGAGAAAGCATCAAACCTCAAGTTCGATAAATTCAAATACTTAATTGAAATACTTAATTAACTCAACATAATTGAAATACTTAAATACTTCCAAGTTTGATAAATTCAAATACTTAAAAACTTCCAAGTTCGATAAATTCAAATACTTAAAAACTTCAAGTTCGATAATTGAAACAAAGTTTACGATAATTGAAATAAAGTTATAAAATAAACTACATTGCCATCTCTTCTTCATCATCTTCGCCTTCTTCGTTTGGAGGGGATATTCCAAGTTCGACTTCTTCAATGTGTAAGTTTGCTTCCAAATCGGCATCAATTGCATCTTCTAGGGTGGTGATATGTTGCTTACGAGCCGCTCCATCCAAATAATCCTTTAAACAAATGTATACTTCCACCGACTCGGGACTTAGTCTTGATCTCCGTTGTGATATAACCCTGCCACTAACAGAAAAAGCGGATTCCGAAGCTACCGTAGAAGCTTGGACGGTTAGTAAATCACGGGCCATGGCGGCTAGAATCGGAAATTGTGCTTCCTTTTCTTTCCACCAAGCCAAAATATCCAAACTTTCAAACTCTTCAAATGTCATTTTTGATAGAAAATCGCATGACATGTAATTTCCCAACTCGCTACTTGGGGTGGTAGTACGTGATCGTTTGGATTGGGAATTTACAAGAGTGTTAAAAAGATTCAAATTTATGTTACTTGGACGTCTACTAGATGATTCCGCATTCATTCTCATTTGATCGTGTATTACACTACTTGATCCGTATTTAGTTAAATAAATTGCAAACATGTCTCGAAAACATTTGTTAAAATAATTTATTTGGTTTTGGACAAAGTTGGGTTCATCATCGGTTAGATTAAAAGCAAACGCAATTTGTTCAATTAGTGTTTCAACCCCACCAACATTTAACGTTGGGTTTAAAGCGGCGGCACAAGTAAAAATGGGGGGAATCTCCTTAAAATATTTTAAAAGTTTTTCCTTCATTGCAAAGCCAATTTCTTGAAAAACTTCGGTTTCAAATTCAAAGTCATTTAGTCGGGTAGCCAACAAAAATATTTGATTAAGAACCAACGGGCTAGTAGGGTAATAAACACCGGATAAAAAGTTGTTGCATTTTTAAAAACCTCAAGCAAATCGGTTATTTTGGCTATAGTTTCCCAACTCGAATCCGGATAAATGTCTGGGACATGACCCCTCTCGAAAAGCCGATCGTGAAATGTTTGCAATGTTTCCCTTTGCCTTAAGGCAGTATGCATCATCATCCAAGTTGAGTTCCAACGAGTTGGACAATCCAAATTATGACCCAAAGCTTTTTTATTAACAGACTTACAAAATCGTTTATAATCATTTAGTCTTTTGTTGTTGTTACAAAGAATCGATTTTATCATTGTTTTAAATTCTAATCTAATTGGCTCAATAACCTCCAAACCGGCTTGCACGGATAAATTAATTATGTGTGCAACGCAACGGGTATGAAAAAACGCACCGTCTAAAATCGGTGAAAGTAATATTTTCAATCTTGGAACCGCGTTTGTATTATTCGATGCATTATCAAAGGATATAGAAAAAACTTTATTTTCTAATTTATAAAGACAAATTACCCGTTTTAAAAGTGTAAATAAATTAGCACCGGTATACGGCTCACCGAATAATTCAAACGCGATTGTTCTTTTCATCATTTGCCAATTATCTTGATCTAACCAATGTGACGTAACGGCTAAAAAAGAATTTCCGGTATTATGAGGGGAACTCCAAACGTCACATGTAAGCGACACACCATAACGGTGTTCTTGGAATCCTAAAATCATTTTTTCCCTCGCCGTACGCCACATTTTTATAGCATCTCTTCTAAGGGTAGTACGACTTACTTGAGTATAACGTGGTTGCATTAGTTGTTGAATTGTTGTCGTGAAATCTTCATCATCAAAGTGGTCGAACGGCAATGCTTTTGTAATCACGAACTTTGTAAACGCTTCTCGTAATTTTTCGTTGTCGTAAACAAAAACACCACCTTGCGGTGTAAGATTCGATTGACTAGGATCCGATCTTGAGCGAAGTGCCTTGCATGATTTTGTCAAATGGTTCTTCAACGTTGTGTTTCCTTCCGATGCAAGAAACTTTAGACAAAGTTTACAACGCACCCTCCTCGAGCCATTTGACATCTCACATAAATCGTAGTGATCCCAAATATCTTTGTTTCGAGTGTGTTCGATCACTCTCACGACTTCAAGGTTTCCCCCGACGGAAGATTCAGCAGTGTTACTCATGATGAATAAAAAATTACAAAACTAAGATTTGAGAGATGTTTAAGTGTTGTGTAATAAGATTTGAGAAAGTTGTAATCAACCAAATACATCCCCAACCTATTTATACATGTTTAGGATGGTAAAATAGTAATTTTAAAGAAAAAAACGGTCAAAAACGACTATATTAACGGCTAGTTTTTTAAACCCATACCGGTTTTTTTTCCGAATAAAAACCGGTTTTTTAACCGGTTTTTTTCAAACCGGTTTTTTATCCGGTTAAAAAACCGGTCTGGGTTTTTTTCTCCAAACCGGTTAAAATAACCGGTTTAAAAAAATCCGATCCGGTTAAAAAAAAACCGGTTTTTCCCAAAACCGGTTTCGGATATTTTTTTCGGATATTCGGATATTCGAATTTTTTGTGCACCCCTATTTGTAGAGACATTCAAACATGTCATTTGTAAGGGCTCCAAGATCGAACATATAATTTGTAGGGCTTTACCCCGAAGGGAGCCCCTCCAGAAATTCTCCGAGGCCAGGGGTGAACCCAGGCCTAAGAGGGGGTTTGGAAATAGTTTTCAACCAGCAATAGACGCGCCTCGGTTAGAACCTCATGAGCTGTGTCATTGCCCCAAGCGCACAGATGCCTTATGCTCCGTATCCCCTCACCTTTTATAATAGACTCAAGGATTCTCTCGCAATTCACGTACCGATGTGGGATTGTTTTTAATTTGGAATTCACAATTGGACCCGCATATATTAAATGATTGGAATTAACCCTTTCCATCCTTCACTTAAATTTTAGGATAAAGTATACAAATGGTCCCGTTTATAGAGTATTGTTTTATTAAGTCTCTTGACTATTAAAATCTACAAAATGATCCTCCGACTATAGAATGTTGCTTTATTGAATCTCTTGACTATTAAAAATTATAAAATGGTCATCCGACTATTCATTATGTTACAAACTCATCATTTTTCTTTAAAAATTTACGGTATTATGGGTCAAACGTTAACTTGTTGAATGTGATATGATAAAATCTGATATTAGAGCCTCAAAACAACTATCATATCTTGGTCATCATATTAATGTCCGACTTAGACAACCGTCATTTTTTTAATAGAAAAGCACGAGTTTGAAATATAGTGAATAGTCGGGTTACTATTTTATAACTTTTAATAGTCAATGGACTTAATAAAGTAACATTTTATAGTTAGAGGATCATTTTGTAACTTTTAATAGTCGATGGACTTAATAAAATATTATCCTATAGTTGGGGACTATTTGTATACTTTACCCTAAATTTTAAAAGAAATCTAAATTTAAAAGAGTTATTGCTTTTAAATGAAAATATAAAATAACAGTGAGCTACAGTGCATGAGGAGAAAGACAAATTGAATACAATGAAAAGCTTGCAGGGAAGGTAGATCAAGCATCGGTTTCGCACCATTCTTGCAGTGTTGGTGTGGCAACTCCTATGTTCTTCATGTCACTCATATTGGCTGGTTCACAAAATAATTTAGGCTAAATTACGAGTATAGTGCCTAAACTATAAACTTTGATCCTTTTAGTACTTAAACTTTCAATTTCTTCAAAATCATACTTAAAGTTTAGTTTTTTTTCATTTTAGCATTATACTGTTAAAAATTTTTGTTTTTATTTTCTTTTATTACACTCGTTCAAAACTTAACGTTAAGTTTTGAGGGGAAATGAAAGTTTAGGTACTAAAATGGACCAAAACTGTAGTTTATATAC